TGTCCGTCTGTGTCTGTACCTGCCCTCCTCCATAAACCCGAAGGCTGCCTCCTCCTCCTCTCCTCCTCCTCCTCCTCCTCTTCCTCCTCCTCTCAGCCCCTGCAGCTCGCTGCAGTGATGACACGCTGCGCTAATTGAAAGCGACCCTGACTCGTCCTTTTTGCAAACCGCTCTGGCTGATGCCCCGTTGTTTCTCCCCCCGCCGGCGGTTGACAACTGGCCTTTCTGCCGAGGCGCTCTGCAGCGTGAACTCTGGCCTCGCTGTGTCGGCCCCTCGCCCCTCTCTCTCTCTCTCTCTCTCTCTCCCTCTCTCCCCCTCTCTCTCTGCAAACACAAGGCCACGCCGAGAGGTAGAAATCTGCAGACCAGCACCTCCTCTCCCTCTCTAAGTGAAACACAAACTGTTCTGGAGAAGATTGTTTTCGTTTTCGCTCGAGACCGCCCCGAAGAGGTTAAGAAACTTCACTCTGGTTTGTTTCCTTCATGCAGGATGCTTAATGCTGTTTACACAATAAAGAAAGGTCTACAATTTGAAATTCAATGAAGATGCAAACATTTTCGCGCCGTCCCCTCCTGAACGTGCTGTGCAAACTGTGAAGGACGAAAGCGCGGCCTAATAGATGAGCAACAGCAGCGGCACAGACAGCATGATTAGATTCTGCTCATACTTAATGCCTTTATCAAAAAACAGCCATATTCCTCTCAAACAAAACGCTTGTACCTGCAGAGTTTCGGTGGAGGTGGGCTGCTCTTATCACCCTCACTGAATGGGACTGGGGCCCATAATGTAATAGCCTCGCAGCGCACTCATAAATCACCTGAAGAGGCTGTGTGCCACATGCACTGACACTCCCAATCTGGCAACCTGTGTCTTTATTAAGGAGCGCATTATACTGAGAGGCGCCTTTTCCCCCCAACAGACAGCCGGCTATAAAACCCCTCCACTCATATATTTATGCAAACATGAGGAAACAAATACTTTTCTCCAAGGTTTCTAATAAAGGAGGAGAAACCAAGACAAAGAGCGGCTTTGTTCTTACAGCTTGTCACCCTCACGCATCACAATTACAGCAATTGTCTCCCTCCCACTACGAGGGACTCATCAATCGAGACGTATGAACGTCTATTCAAATCCGATTTGCCTTTGTAAAGAAGTCAGATGCTCCTGGTCTATAGGGTAAACTCTGCCGTTTATTTCCGTCGGCTTTTCTTGGTTGGTATGTAGTTTTTTTTTTTCTGGTTCTGTCCCTTCAGCAGCTTTGACAGCTAAATTGAAAAATGTCAGAAGCAAACGTCATGCGAGATGACGGGGAAATGGCGACGAATCGAGATACGGCATCAGTGCGGCTCCTGTAATCACACGGAGAAACATTCAGCTCCAACATTCACTCAGATCAGGATTTCTCTCTAAGCATCTTTAGATCTGCTTTAGTCAATCTCAGCCCTCCCAAACACAAACTACGGTTATAAACTTAAAAACAAAAAACATGAACCAAACAAAGAGGCATTTCTAAAGTTATGGAGTGGACAAATGTGACCCCTCTTTACATAATCCTTTAAGTCTCTCCAGAGATGTAGGGCTGTCTAAATCCTTCACCTTCATTGGTTTTATCCATAAAGTCAACACATTAATCCTGATCAGCTGTAGGTGTTGACATACACAGTATGGTTTCATGTTTTCATCCTCCTCCTGCCAGTATGAGAGTCGCCTTTTTATCCTTTTTGTTGAAGTTTGGCTAAATTTGCTCCCGTCCTTTAAAACGACGCTCAGGTTCTTCTGTTTCCTCTGAGCTGCTCATCGCTAAATTATTTCTTTGGGTCATCAGAAGGAAAGAAAAGAAAGAAAGAAAGAAAGAAAGAAAATGGCACCTTTAAAATTTAATAACATGTTTTTGACTGAAGAGTATTTTCAAGGAGGACAGCTGAGTCTTACCTGAGCCCTTCAGAGCGCCAGTGTGTTGGCGATTAGACCCAAAATATGGCCTGAGATAGGGCTGCATGATTAATCGATTTTGAATCTTGATCGGATTATTTGATCATGATGATGCTAAAAAATTAAAATCCTCAAATCGATTTTCTTTTCTATCATGTCTCGCATCTCCAGACCACCGTAGGCTCGTTGATGTTTAAAAAATACAATAATAATTATAATAACGTTGATGCTTTGCTGCAATGCCGGAACAAAAACGACACGTAACCAGAACCTCAACTCGTCCTCCCCCCAGACTGTTTAGTGAGTGGGACCAAAACAAACAGAGCGCGTTGGTTTCTTCACAAAATGGCAAAAGTTTCAGCAGCTTCCAATGAACGGCCGATTCTCTCGCCATCATGTTTGACTGCAACCAATGTCAGGCCTGTAGAATAAACCAGGTGATGTTTGCAAACTCCAATAATGTTGTTTACAGCCCACAGGTTCACAGTCAGAATCATCTGAAGGGTCTTTGAGTGAGTCACTGAAGGAGACCCTCTCCACTGTAAGCTTCCCTGCACTCTAAAACTCTGCAGTCCGGCAGGTGCAGATTCAGCAAACCCTCCAGATTGTTTAAGGTTAACTGGAAAAAGTAAAACTCGGCACATTTGAAAACAATAATTGGAAATGCACCAGAAATAAAAATGCTCTCTGTGTATTTTTATTCGTGGAGCTTCATAAAAGTTAAACACAAGACAAACTTTTGGAGGCGCACCGCGGCTGCAGTCAGGGGTGAGGATCAGAAATATGCAGGTTTGACATCCATATATGACGCACAAACACACACACAGTCGGAGGAAACCCGGGATGTCAAACCCCTGCCTACACTCTGAGCTGTGGGACTACTTGTGCCAACTAAATATGACTAAAAAATCTTCAGGCAGCAGCTCTGCTCCAAACTAAAATCATGCAAATCATGACAGAAAGAAAAAAAAACAAAAAAAAAAAAAGAAAAACACTAAATCCCTTTCTCCCACTCAGTTCCTGCAAACACAAGATGTACCCCTCGGTAAACACTGGCAGAGGAACACATCGTGCAGACAGACAGACCTGACTGTTGAGAGATGGGAGTGAACAGCTCTCTGGCTCCTCTCAAAGAACTCGTTACACTCAGAAACACAGAGAGAAAGGACGGGGGATTAAAGACGGGGGCAAGTCGGGACGGCTCAACTGGGCTTTTGCTCCTCCTGTGGCGGACCCGTGGCAGCAGCCCAAGTCCACCTCTGAGGACCGTCCTCACCCACAGAGCTGCTGATGTAGATCTCAGTTCATGAGTTTACTGACGCACAGACCGAATCTGTCCTCCACACCTGACTTCAAATGTGCGACACGGTCGAGTTTTTAAATCGAAAAAGAGCCACATGGAAATCACCTGACAGCTCAAGTTTGAACTTTCAAAAGTTCACAGAACAACTGACTAATAACACAAAGAGACACTCATGAAAAAAACAGAAAGAAACTACAACTCGAGTCAAGAAAAACAACTTCTTTTACGGCAGTTTACCGTCGTAGTATTTGCTGAGCTAATATTTGACACGCCGGTGTGAGTATTTATTGAAGGAAGTTTAAACTTGAACTTAAACGTGCAGCTTTGACCTGAGGAAGAAAATTACAAACGACAAACAAATGAGTCAAAATTTAAACCTCTGGAAGATCAGCTCACCTTGGAAGTGAGGAGTGAGCTGTTTGAGCCAAATCAGAGTCAGGGCAACATCAGGAAAGACCTGAAGTCCATAACCGCATGTGTAAGAATATCACAATTTGCAGATCTGTGCACATGCTTTGTAACCCATCCTGCATGCAGTCTCAGTAGATGCAGTCTCAGTAGAGGTCTATAGGGCTTATACACTGAATCTGTGACTTAAATGAAGTCCACGCAGAGCCCCGGACACTTACAGAGCGCAGCAGCGTTACTCTGAAGGTGAGTGGCACAAGACAACGATTTTAAAACATTCATTTTTTGAATCTGAAAAGTTTTCCTTTACTCTCACACTAATACAGAGGATGCATGTATTCACACCGGGTTATAAAGTGGTCATTAGCTATAAATGGGAATTTATGCTGACAGCTCACCATTTATGATCGATTAGCAGTCATAAACATACAAATGTGGTTTATAAATCCAGGTTTACCAGGTTTACCGCCTCGTTCATGAACCCTGAGTAGATTCTCAGTTCTGAGAATCACAAACATTTCATAAACGTGATCTTGATTTACATGCTGTCATGTCATTCTTGTCAAACATGATACACACTGCTGTAGGCTGTCCAGCTCTTGCTTTTGATATGTATTTGACTAATCAATTTAATGATAAATCCTCAAACTCTTTCTTATTGTACTTTTATACATACTTATCATTCATACTCTCTTTCATACTCTGTCTTACAAACACTGGGGTGGCCGAGCCTCTGGTTATGATGAATACCACCTTTTGGAATAAGCTTCCCGCTGAAATGGAACTTATTTCTGACCTGAGCCTTTTCAAATATGAAAACGCATTTATTTATACTGGCTTTAAATACCTGGTAGTGTGGTGACACTTTTGCTTTATCTTATTCCATTGTATCTTATTCTTTTTTTATTGTTGTTATTTAGTCATTCTTATTTACTATGTATAGTAAAGCACTTTGGTTGGGTTGTTGTAAAGGGCTGTATAAATAAAGAACATTTACATTTATTCACCATTTTACTACGTCACATTATAGTAAACACAAAATTAGCTCTATTGATTGATCAGAAGTTGTGGATGCATGGTCCAGATCTCTCCAGTGCTCCATCTATGAGGTAAAATGTGCAAAAAGAAAAAAAAAACTTTTTTCTGCTTTGCAAGAAAAAATGCAAACTGTGTGCAAACATCAGGGATGCAAAAAGCTTTGAAATCTAGATATCTCATCGTCTGCAACAGCAGAGATCTACTAAACTACATCTATGTGCAGAAGAAAGGGTTTGCATTCTTGACTGCTGCAGGTTTGTGTGATCTTGTCTTGGTGTGTGATCATGAGAGCGAACCCTGCATGGTCCAGGATGTCAGATGTATGACACAGAGCAGCACATCTCTCCTCTGCACCTGCACCTGCGCCGCCTGAGTCTCGCCTATCGCCTCATCGCACATCCTGTCAAACAGCGGTCAGCAGAGGATGAGCAGAGGGGGAGTGAGAAAGTCCACGTTTTGTATCTTGACAGCAGACTCGCGGCGGCGGTGGAGGCTGAGCTCCTGTTTGTTATCTGCTCTGACGTGGAATGTGCGACATGCAGACGCACGGCGGCGAAGGGAGAGCGAAGCAGACAGGTAATCCAGGATTACAGCGACGACATGCCATTTCCATGGACGTGTTATTTCTGCTCAGGCGTCTTTTGTGCAAAACACGGGGTGCAACCCCATCTGTCTGCTCCAAACTCTCCTCTGGCACCCATCAATGGCGCTCCGTGGACCAGCATAGACGACGAGATAATGAGCTCCCGTTGCCTTGTCAACGCTATCCCTTATTTCCTCCTCGACAGCCACGCTCCTAAGCTTCCGCTCGCCAGTTTTTCAGTGTGCAGAGCTCTTTGGTAAACAAGGAATCAAGGTGGCAGATGAGATTTCATATGGTCTTAAAACTCTTTCAACAAGCAGCCACAGATGGACAATCCAGGCACAAGTCGTTTTCAGACTGCTGGAGGGCGAGGTCGTTAAAGAGCTAATGAGAAACACTCATTTTTTTACCGCCAGACAATAAAAACATTTGAAATTTTAATAACCGCTGCTTCACACATCACCTCCGTGAGAGAGGCGGCTGATCGCTGACTGTCAGATGATGTCCTCCATGTCTCAAGCAGCAGAGAGACGCTCATGTCTCACACTTGACACGAGTGACTCACAGACGCTAATTAAAGACGTTTACTTCCACAGAGACGATTAACCACAGAGTCCAGTCTGCATGTTAATAAGGAAAACATCAAAACTGGAGTCAGTCTGGATCTTTAGACCTGGAAACAGATGTCAAATTAAAGGGATATTCTGCTGTAAAATTAAGTTAGGGTCACCTACAGTCCATGACGGACTACAGCGGGGTGCCGCAGCTCAAGGAAGAACATTTATGATCATTTCTTTATCATTTTTGAAGTAATAATCATCATATTAATCATTTTACAGAAACGGTAGTTCTTCAGTCTTCGCGTCTCGGTCTGATTGTATTTCCATGAAGAAATGATCATAAATGTTCTTCCTTGAGCTGCGTCACCCCGCTGTAGTCCGTAATGGACTGACCTGAGGTCTCACTACAAACAAGCGGCTGCTGGAAGAGAGTAGGTGAGTTGTGTTTAGTCTCAGTCAAAGTTAAAAAGATGTTTGGTGTCTAGTACTATGGCTGTGACCCTATATGTCCTGTTGATGAAGTTAGGTGCTGTTCTGAGCATTATTTGTGGCTATAGAGTGGAGGTTTGGTTGAGGGCGTGGCTCTCTGTATTTCTATCCTGCGGTCGTTACTAAAGTTGGTATAACTGGAGAAGTAAGCGGTCGACAACATTCATCTCTGGAGGGGGGGTCTAACTCGGTGTTATGGTGTGTTTGACCCTAACTTAATTTTACGGCGGAATATCCCTTTAAGATATCGATCGTTTGGATGATTTTCATTGTGATTGCTTCTCTCAAAAGAGTCTTGAAAGGATCTTCATGTCTGGAAATCCCAGACTTGAGTCTCTTTCAAAGTAAAGTGGATAAAGCAGAGGCAGAAAAGGCCAAACAGACCCGTTTTAATACATTTCCAATCTCTTTTATGCTCCCCTCCTTTTCTCTTTAGTGCATGCTTCAGTTCCTTTGAAAGATCCTTACCATTATTCCCTCCCCTCCTCCTCCTTTTTTCCATTCTCCTTCCAATTCTTATAGTGTATAGAGTTTGTGCTCATTTATGTGACAAATGTGCGGCCATTTTGGCCTGGACTCTGTCACGAAAAAAGGAGATTTCCATCTCAAAAGACCACCCTGGTTGAATAAAGGTCAGAGAGAATCTATAAAAGTGGAGAAAAGTCTTCTCCATTATGACTTCAGGGTTTATGGGCCGCTTTAACAGGCAGACCAGGTCATCTGTGTACACTGGGCCGACAGCGCCGGTGCTGCAACAGCTTTTATGGATCAGGATTTATTCTTTTTTCAGCCTTTCTCTGCAGGGAACAAATCAATCTAAGATCAGCGGTGTAATTTTAATCTGCAAATCTGGAGTTAGAGATCATTCAAGAGTCACCGTGAAGCTTCAGCCTCTGATTATCTACCACTGAGTGATCAGATCTGTGCTGCAACAACTAATCACGATCAAACTAAAAACATGAGATTTTTAACTGATAAATACTCTTTAATATCTTTTTATTCACCATACTTCTTATTGATATCAGAGTAATAAAGAGTGTCATTGTTTTGTTTTGTTTTATATCCTGCAGTCCCGCTGTGATAACAGTGTTTAGTTGGAGGAAAAATGGCTGCTAATTTCTAACTGTGTGTGTGCATGAAAAAAAACACAAAATTCACGGTGGAAAAATATTTGTTTTTTCCTTCGGCATATTTTTTACCTTAATTGCACGTGTTTTGATTTAGCACTTTAAACACAGACTAAAGTTGTTTATTGTTTTCAGGATTAGCAACAGAGCATGTGAGCCGCGTCCATTCAGTCGCCATTTCCGTGAGTCTGTGGTCGACAACTTTGGCTTTTTTTTTTCATATTTCAATAAATACTGCAGAAAAAAAATATATAACAAAATTAGTTTTAGTCCAATATGGAGCAGCCGCCATTACCGTTCAGGCAACTGAGAAGGTGGCGATAACAGATGGTGTTAAAAATCAGCTACACGTCCGCACCGAATCTGCACATTGCTGACCACAAAGGTGAGAACAAACTTAAATCCAATTTTTAACATCAGTGTCGTCCTGGATCACAGGCTGTAACATTATGCTAGTATGGCAAACCCAAAAAGACCCAGGAGGGAAGCACCCCCTGCAGGTGAAACCAGGTCAACGACCTCACTAACGACTCTCAGGTGACCCAGCGGTGAACGACCCTCAGGTGACTAACCGACACATTTACAGCTGGTTTTAAATTCCCAACTTTGGCTCCAGTCACTTTAACACTGAAAAGACCTCAAACAAATCCAGTTACTATTTAAAAAGAAAACCATGACCCGGATGAATCAGAACCGAAGACATCCCAAAACTTCTTCGTTTGTAGTTTTGCCTCGCTGACATTAACCCCTTTGGTGAATTAACCATATTATACTCAATTAATTTAAGGTGAGTTTTGGGGTGAGAGAGGAAAATATGAAGGTGGTGATAACAGACCATGATCTGAAAACTACATTTTCTTCTACACCTGATATATTTCATGACTTTTTTCAAGATTTTATCAACAGAATTTTGAACACAACAGCATTGAGACGGTAAATTATAACATCAAAACGTCTTTCACTTCCTTTTTCTGTTAAATATATCTGTTCTATTCTCGACCTTTATAACAGACTACAACTTCAACATGCTTTAATTGTGATAATCCTGCAGAATGAGGATGTAAATTAACTAAATTTAGTTCATAGTCGCCTTCTCTGTGTTTTGTTTTTCTACCTGCAGCCTGTGATGAAATCAGTTTCTCGCGGTGTTCTGCAGAGCGCTTTAACAGATTTCAGTTTGAATTCCCTGAAAGAGTTTTCAAAGACACAAAGATTAATAAAAGGATTTAAGGTTTACTTACTCTGCGCCTCTTTCTGCAGTTCCACTTCAGTTAAAGTCCAAAAATTTGTTTGTTTGTTTTTTTATTTACCGCCCAGTTTGGGTTTAAAGCTCCTCTCTCTGTCCTCAACAGCTAATGCGGCTGGTTTGTGGAAGAGTCGCATTCCTCGTGTTTTATCTATATGTGCATCACCGCATTTCCTGCAGAGCGGCATTCTCTCTCCCACCTGTCTGTCACTGCGGTGTGTGACACTTCAACAAATACACACTCAGACACACACACACTTAAAATGAGACTCTCAGCTTCAACATCAGACTCTCCAGAATGCGTTTTGTTTACTGTTCGCTGTACTCAAAATGACGCCAATTTTCTCCTCGTCTATCACAGAAAACATCAGCGTACTATTCCACTCCAGGCTTCCATCTCTTTTTAAGAGCGCTGTTTTTACCGTGGACTTCACAAACGCCTCTCTTATGCGATTCAAACCAACAGCTTTGTTATTAAAAGGTGCATTTAACATCCAGGTTTCACGAGGCGTTCAATCAAACAGGATTCGCAGCACATCCTTTCCGTAAATTCAGAGTTATTTTACAGTAATTGTAGACGAGGAGTTCAGGCAAAAGCTAATGTTTCCCTCGCTCCCTCCTGAGTCTTCGTTTCTGTTTGAACAGAAAAAAAAAACAGTATTTCTTTAGAGAAGCAGCTGCTAAAACAAAGACGGAAAAAAGAGAGAAGAGAAACAGACTCGGGGTCTCTGCGGAGCTCGGGAAAGCTCACCTCTCACCTGATTTTGAAAGAAAAAGCTCAAAAAGGCACTTTGGCCTCGTCAGAGAGAGAGAACATTTGATTCCAAGTCAAATGTAATCCAAACTGGCTGGTGTCCAGCAGCGGCTCGAAAAGACTGCATTATTATATAAAAGGAGAAAATGTTCAATATCTGAACCAACCCTGGCTTCCCACTCGCTCTCATTTAGCAGATGATCATGTTCGGGGCTTTATTCCACAGAACATCTGCTTTACTTTCGCTAATTTCCAGCCTGAATCATGACATCAGTGTTGACAAACTATACACGCCGGGATGGAAAATACATAAAGCCAGTCAAAGCGCTTATTTTCTACTCCTACATATCCCTCTGCCAGCAGCATGAGTCACTGCAGTTACAGGGGAATATTCATATTTTTAAACCCGGGCCCTATTTTTACATGTTTTACACATATTTACAGGTTTTTAAATGACTAACAGGAGAGAGGAGCTTCAATTCGCTTCACCAGGGAAAATAAACCCAGCTGGAGTGGTTTTCGTTTTTGTTGTTTTGGTGTCGAAAAACCTCGTCTCCAGAAAAAGTGAAGGACACAGCATCCGTGGTTTCCAAGAAGAAAGTCAGACTTTGTTTTTTTTACTGTTTCTGCTTCGCCTCACATCCTGAATGGATCCGGTTTGTCGTTTTCTTTTTTTAGGACAGTTTTAAGTCTCTTTTAAGAACGCATTTTTACAGAAGTGCTTTCACAGAAGACGTTTTGAATCTTTAAGATGCTGCTTTTATTTTGAGCCAAAGCAGAATCACAGGAAACATCTTTTACCTTTAACTTCTATCTTTTAATTGCTTTCACTTTCATTTATGTATGTAAATATCTGTGTTTATATATTGTGTTTTTTTGTCATTTTATTCCTATAATTTCTCTTTTAAGTGTCTCCTCTCTGTTTATTTTGTTTTAGTTTGTAAAGAACTTTGTAACCCTGTTTTGAAAAGTGCTATATACATCAGATTTATTATACTTAGTAGTAGTATGTGATGACTTCCACTACAGAGTCATGCTTGTTTTTGTCCTTAAACCTTTTGTACAGAATCTGAATCTGAATCTT